CGTTCGGCTTGTTAATTTACTGTCCCTTTTTAACGCATTCACCCGAACACGATGTTTCCGGCGTTCGAATCTTGATCAAATAAAAGAATAACAGAGGATGGTAAACGTACAGTGTGTTCGTTGAATGTTTAAGGAGCGAAAATATTGAAATATCGCGCTACAGTATCTCGATCATAGCACGCAATTCGCACATTCGTGGTCGGCCGGATATTTAAACGGATGTATAGGTAAATTTTTACATTTCTATCAAGACAAACAGAGAAAATTTCCCAAGTTTTTTCAGATAAATATATTATTTGTTTATCGGGTTTGCTTTCGGTTGAAAAGCGAAAATCGCGTCATCTTGTCTATCGATGTGTTTCGAGATTACGTTCGAAACACACATAGAGCGTTTAGAAAACTTGAAATAAATACAATCGTCGAGAGAACATCGTACTTACAAGTTAAAACGATCTTTACCAAATATATAAACGTAATTAATACGTACCAACTAGTTCGATAAGAAATAGTGCGGTAAGATGTTAAACCCGAACGTCTAAGCATAGGAACCGCTAACTTTCATAACGTAAAAGTAATTTGAAGTTGTAAAACCTTCTCCCAGGAGCATACTGAGATTGAGGCTACGGTAGCTTCTAAACTCCATACAAAACACTTTGTACCGTAAACTTTACGCGAAAATCGTTACCTGTTACGGAAAAAACGCTCCTCTAAAAATCGAAAAACTTGGAACAACATTAAAAACTTCCAAGGCTCCAGCCACCTATGCTATACTTTACCAAGCGCTAAACCGTTAAAACTTCCGATCACTTCGACATTTTAGCATATTTATTCCATTCTGTGCTTTTTAATGTCTTAATATACTCCGTTCTACGATTTTCGACATCTTCGAACGTTACGTCTCTCTTGTGATATTTAATTAACCAGTGCAACAATTCGTACACGTTCTATATATAGCACGTAGATCGTTAATAAAAAAAAAATATCACGAGCTCGATTAAAATAAAGGAAGAATTCTTAGCGTCCGTGACCTTTTCTCTCCAACGTGAAACGTTTTATTCGAGCACGAAAGCTGATCGCCTTCGAAAGAAAGTACGAGACGAAAGGTTGTTCGTTCGTTAAGACAAGAACGAGAATTAACGTAAAAAGAAACGGAACATAATGTAATACGGTGAGATTAGATGAAAGCAGCAGAATTAAAGTTACATAATCGAAAAATAAGGTTAGAATCGATCGTTGAAAGAGTAGCTGCAGAATTTAGAATCCTATGAAAATCTCTGCTTTGCGGAGAACGGGGCATTAAAATTAAGGGAAACGTGAAATGTAACAAAGTAAGCGACTTTTTGCGGCATTATTGTCGCGTTACCCGCGATTGAAAAGCTGGAAAAAGTAATAAAGTTCCTTTGAGTCGAAACCGGAGAAACTGAGCAATCTCCGTCGGTTATAAAGGCCGTGGCGGCTGAAAGAGACACAGCCAGCCGAGGGAAATAAAGTAAGGAAAGTAGAATTCGAGAGACCGCAAGGGGAAGCAATATCTTTCCATCAAATTCGGCGGTTGAAACGGCGTTGGGCCGTTCTTCCGGAAAGACTTACAACATGGAAACCAGCCGTTTTTATTTCCACCGGTGAAAAAGATACTAGCCGATTCCGAGTTATTTGCCGAAAAACCGTTTTAACGTATCTAACCGCGAAACTATCTCGGTTTCTCCTTGAATTTTCGACCGCTGCTACACAAGGGATCCATCCCTTCCAGCGATCGTAGTACGAGGAAGCGATTGCTCCGTTTTTTTTTTTTTTTTTTTTTTTTTTTTTTTTTTTTTTTTTTGAGAAAATCCAATTTGAAAATTTATTTTTTACGTGTGAAATTGGCTAATTGTCGATTGAATAGAACGAATATTTAAGGTCTCGTTTCCAAGGGAATAGAGTTTGAACATAGGTATTTAATTAAGAATCCGCCTTGTCCTCGTTCTCGATCAATTTTCAAATGTCCAAACTAGAAATTCTACGTTTTCGATTTGTTTTCATAACCGTGGAAAATTCCTCCTCTTTATTATTCGCTGCTGTACACTCCGAAATTATCCGAGTTCAAGCACACCCGATAAACTTTCAAGCTCGATTTTCTTCGAAACAAACGATCGTACGAACAAACTTTATCCTACGTTTTCGACTTATTTTTTCACGTAGGATCTTCCTTGTACCGATCGTATTGTGATTACTGCGTTACACTTTTCTAAGCTCGTCGATGCGTTTGGTTTCCCCAAACCGATTTCTCTGCTCCGGTTTCAAACGATTTTAGATAGGACAACGGGATAATCCTGGGAAAATTTATCAGCTCGAAGCAAGATAGAGAAAGAGCCTGGAGAAGGGAGAAGCAGAGAGAGAAATGGTCCTTTCTGGTAGGACCAATCTCGGAAGCTGAATTCAACGACTATACGGCTATACAGAGTGGCGAAAGAGAGAAGAAACGAAAGGACTTCTAATATCTGCTAGAAAGACGGATGCACATAATCTTGCAAGAAGGATAAACGCGGTTACCGGTCAGGATTTCGAAATACGTCTCGGGAATGTCGTCCGTAGTATTACTCGACCGGTTCGTATCAAGCTCCGTGGTACAAAGGAAATTGTTTGCGAAGGCAACCGCGTTTTAAACTGCTTCGATGATACGACTCCTCCTTTCTTCCAATTTTTGTTGCGAGGAAAATAATAAAATAAGAAACTGTAATAAATAATGTAGGTATATTTATCAATGAAAGGATATAAATGGAAATATTATCAAGTTACTTCAATTTAGTTATCTAAATTAAGTAATATTTACTTATTTATAATACTTACTTACAAATTATACGTATCTATAATAAGTATTAACGTATTATAAATAATCAGTCATGTCATTGCGCCACGCCAGAAAAATTACTGAAAATTCTTAACGCGAGAATTGATTGTAATTTTAATAAATAAATAATACAAAAAAAAGTTACTTAAATTTGTTAAAATGTCCAGATATTTATATGTCGGGTTAATGTTGGAATTTTGGGCGTTTGACGAATCTTCATTCGAATTTGCCATCGTGGTTACAGCTGATATTTATTGGTACAAATGTGATTATTACAAGAAGCTACAAGTAATAGCGGCGATCGGATGGTCGAGATGTCGATGACAATGAACTCAGGTTCGATAACGAATCCACGGCCAACGGGACGACGAATGCGATGTGATACACGATCCCGATGTCACTCAACGTGCAAGTAGTACTCCTCTGAATAGACTCTATAGACTCAATCGCGGTCCAAGTGGAACTGCCCTCATATAGTCCTCTCCCCACCTCGCGGGTCGATCTTTGTTTTTAAGGAGAGCTATATAATTATTCCATACCTCTGTTAGGTACACGTCCCTCCCGTGACCGTGGCTACGTTCAGTGACCCGTTATGTCACTTCGAGCCCAAGCCCGTCGTCGTAAAATCGGATTGGAACATTACAACTATTTCTTAGTTTTGTTACTTAAGTGTAGCTACAGTAAAAGTGTGGACTAAGGTATTGGGGTTTCTTCCAACATTCCAAAAGGGAGGCCCCGATGTCCTTTCATCACCGACATATATTTGTAATTAATATAAGATGAAACAAACTAAACCGATCATATTTTCTTACAGCATTTTCCAATTTCAAATTGGACGACGTAAGTGGCGGTTTTCGAATCGAAAACCACATCGAACGGTACGTGACTTGTCGCTCGGTACAGCGTCGAATTTATGGATCCTATCCGTGGCCATGGGATTTATGGGAATCCAATGCCTTAATTGGAAAATTATAGGACAATGTCTGGAAGCGGACCGTTCGTCCCACAGCCCGTTACTCAACGCGTATAATCGACCCCTCACTGATAGCTGACTTTCACAGTCGCGCCTCGATATTTTCTGTCTCCATGAGACAAGGAATCAGATATCCTGAATTCCAGCTAACGCGAACACAACTGCAGAAAGCAACTGCGACCTGACCGAATTTCTGTCGCGACTGGTCTTTTAAATTCCGATTTAAAAATGACAAATATTTGGTTAGCAACTAAGTGATTGCGGATCTTGTCATTTGATGATAATGAGAAAATCCGCGATCGCTTAATTTCCGACCCAATATATATGTTTTCCCTCTTTACTATCCACTGCGGAAAAGTAAAGAAATGTTTACGAGTTATTCGGATTTCTCTATCGAATATTTGGAAAGAAAAATATTTTATCGGTGTTTAACACTTTTCTTTCTTTTTTTTTAATTTATTCGTTTAATCCACCTCTGAGGATTATTAGCGACTACAGTTGTATACTATTGTATTTCACAGACATGTACGATATTCCACTAAACTCACACGTTGTCTTTTGGTCATAAATACGTAAAATAATTTTTCACTTTTATGTTACCGTTTATAAGCGTTTATTTGTTAACACCTGTTATTTGGCAAAGTTCATTGTTGTTTTCAGTTTCATTTACGAAACGAAGAATCGTTGATTCGATCGGTCCAACAATAAATAATATATTGCCAATTTGTAAAACAGCCGGTGTAAGTATCGCAGAGTAGAGTGTGAAATATCTGTCGAACAGCGTAAAAAAGGAAGAACGTTTCGAAACTATGTATTTGTTTCGATAGAACGAGGAATATTTGTTTATCCGCAAACCTTGATTCCAATTTGGTAAAAATTTGCATCGCGCTAATATTTGAACAATGCAAAATTGATATTGACAGCTGCCCTATATTCGTTCGAATCAAATTATCCCGCGTATCTAGCAAATTCAAGTAAATCGAATTAAACGCGAATGTTTCGAATAAAAGCGAAATAGGACAGAATATAGGTAAGAGCAAAAAATACAAAGTTCCACGATATCGTTCGCATAAAAGATATGTAAGTTACTTTTACGGTACGGACAATGAAAGAGTACGATTGTAGAGCGGAGAGAGTCGAATAAAAGACATTTAACCATGTGAAACAATTAACCGTTGGAAATTTACATACGCTTACCTAATGAGGTGGCGGCACACAAAACGTGTAGCTGGTGAACCAAAATGGAGGCCACCACGGCCGAAAGACGACTCAACATCGTAGTCGATTCTCAACTCATCTCTGTTTCTAAAGATGAGACGCGGTGCCTCTCGTCTCCTTCCGATCTGAAATTTTAATACAACAATATTTATTATCGATTCTTAATATTTCAAGATCACATCAACAAAACACGATAAATACATTTTTATTCATTTTCCTTTTTATTCTTATCTTCTCTTTACGTTTAACTTTATGCTTATTAATCTTCGCATTTCGAATTTCGTAACATTTCACTCGTAAAAACCAATTTTCAAATAGACATCTTTATATAAATCTTATCTTTCAGATATAAAGCTCGAAACGTGCGGTGATAGATTATGTCGACAAATTGACACGGACGATTGAACCTTATCGTTGGATAATTAAAGATAAAGCGTGGAACAAGACGAATGCGGTCGTTAATTATACTCAGCCACCCCAGTGCACGATGTCAAACGATCCCGGCAAGCCTACCGAAATCCCCCTGGACTTGGAAATAACACCTCCGGTTGCCTGGGGCTGACCCAATCGGGTTCACGAGACACAAAGCCAGCCCAGAGATCAATGCGTTACTCCACCGATCTATGTATGTGTCCCAGAAAAAGGATCGACCCTTTCGCCAGCCGGATTAACAGTTTTACACGCTGAAAAGCCCGGTATACTCTCCAGTGTCTCGCTTCTTTGCAAATATCGTCTTAATGAATTTCTAACGGGTCCATTCCCCTTTTCGAAATTCATATTTCATTTGAATTATTTATAGGGAAAAAAAATTCCTGTCGAAGGATGGACGTTCGTGATCAATGCAAATTTGAAATTCAGGCGAAACCGATGCAAATACGGTAGAACATTTAATGGAATATCTTTCTGCTTTGCAATTTTTTTTTTTTTTTTTTTTTACTAATATTAAAATAATTCACTTTACGCGTGTATTGCTGTATTTAAATTTATCGTTCGTATCTAACGCGCCCTTATTTTTCGTACGTGTAATCGTTACGTGTTTAAAAATTCGTACCTCGCGTAGAACAAGTTCATTTTCCATTGATTTTAGCGAGATGATTATGAAATAACGAGAAAGAAAGGAAGTAGAAAATAATGGAAATGTAAGCACGTAATCTCTCGGTCGTCGTAACGTTTTATTCGATAATCATCGGATGAAAATCAGCGAACTAGTCCTTTAAACGTAACTGCGTTCTGTCTCGAAATTTTGTCAATTTTTCATTACGCTATCGAAAGGTGTTTCCTACTTTCTACCTAAGAAACAAATTACATAGCATTACGCAACACGAGCGTAGAATAATATTATTGAAACGCCATACGAGATTGCAAAAAAAAAAACAGCAAATAAACTAACACGGATACGAAGATTTTAATGAACGCACGAGTTCGAAAACAATTTAACGCAACAAAATCCACAGGGAACAAATGCGGACTAAACAATTGCAACTTTGGCGGAGCGTATCGAGAAACGTTTAAAAAACGAGCAACCGAACAATAAAGGAAGACCAATTTGCCCGGTCGTTTCAAAAGAATCCGTAGGAAGAACGAAACTCGTCAGGCAGACAAAGCGAGTTCCCGTTCGAGTCAATCGCTTTGAACGACGTATGTAGACTCAAAGGCCGCAGTAAATCAGACGGTCGGTCCAAGTCAAATAGAAGATTGTTACCACGAAATTCCGTGTGATTCAATTTGACCGGAAGTTTGACCGAAAACACGCTTCTCCCTCAAGTTTCCTGATGCCACCGTCCTAATGAATCTATCGGCAACTCTTGAACTCCGCACCGTCATGCCGCACCCTCGCAACCCTTTCACAGGGTCGTCACAATTCGTTCCATGTAACGTACGATTTAGACCCCTAGGCGAAAGCCTTCGCGGTTGCTCGCGAACCTATACGAACGATTATAACAGTCTTTTGCGAGAGTGCGTTACGTGTGTTGTACGAAACACTTGGAAATTTCACTATCACCTATAGAAACATTTTACGAATATACAGAGTCGAGCGGTAGTCGTAGAGCAACCGAACAGGGAATGATCGCTTCTAAGTGAAAAAATAAGTGGAAGATATAGGATAAACATTTTTCATACGACGCTTCGTTTCTGAGAAAATCGAGTTTCCAAGTTGGTCAACTGCGTGCACTATCGTTTGGCTGAATATCGGCTAGGTGTATGAATAAACAATTCACAGGAGATTATTACACGCGTGAAAATAAGTAAGAAATGTGGAATAAGATTTCTCCAAACTGATACATTTCCAAATTTATGTTTCTCGAAGATGAAGCGTCTTACGAAAAAATATTATTCCACGCTCTTGACTTACTTTCAAACGTAGCTGAACCCTCTGTCGAATAATTACGCTCGTTTACGCAATTGGCAAAAATTGAAATATACCGGACAAATCTTCAAACTTGACTTTCTCGACTACGAAGTTTCAAACGACAAAATGTTATAGCAAATTTCTTTCTTATCCTTTCAGGTGGAATCATCCCTTGCTAGGTTGTACCGCGATTATCGCCCCACCCTGTGTCATTACGCGTTACACGAGACTCGTTGAAAACAATTTCAAGAACTTTGAACTTTGTAAAACATTAGAATTATTAGAGCCTTCGCACAATTATCATGGAGTACAGAAACTACACAGTACTAATGAAATTTCACACGATTCGCGTAACGAGTTTATCAAAATTTTCTATGGTAAATGAGGAAATATATTCGTGAGCCGCTGTATACCTGTTAGACTAGACAGCCACCGTAATACAAACAATTTCTTCTCGTCCTTGTCTCGGCAAACTGTTCTAACAGCTGTCGTTTCTACCCAGAAACTTCCAAATTATTTCGATGTCTCACGCAGGTGGTACTCGCGCGACAAGTGGCAGTTGTGCGAATGAAAAAGTTTGACCTCGCTGTCTAACGAAATCCAGGTGATAGTGCAGGGAACAAGGGAAGAAGAGCGAAGAAACGTAAATGTTTCGCTTTTCGTTTTTCATATTTTGTAGCAGCATTTGTATTTTTCTTCCTTGCTACTGTATATACTAAAAATGTTTCTTTAATAAAACGTTTCAGAGTATCGCCATGTTTTACTACGTTAAACTCGTAAGTGTTCTCGGTTTCTTGGATTAACGAGAAAATACCCAGAAGCGGTCGGTAATGTACGTGATATCGTGATGCTTACACGACATTAGCGCACTCGATTATTTCTAGTACAATGTAACAGAATGTTTACAAAAGTGGCCTGCTCCTGGATGTTAATTATCCTACTCCCAAACGCTTATCCGACGTAAGTCACCTAAACGTTGTAAAACGCGATATTAACTGACCTATATACGAACGGTGATAAAAGAAATCCTGTAAAAAGGACTACAGAAAACACTAAAAAATTAACACAATTGAAACGTATAGCGTAGAATGTACTCTAGTTCAGTGGAGAAATTATTTCCTATCTTCTGCATCATACAACGCAACCATCGAACAACGAATCTCGAGAACGAAATAAATGTTCCACGAGATATCCTCTTTTCTTCGCGTCGTTCTTGTTTCGCAATAATTTGTCGGGAAAGCTGACCAAGGGTAGAAATTACGCAAGTGCGTTATCGCATGGTCGCGTGTAGCTAACGGCAAATACAAAATGAAAAAAGGTTACGAATAAACGGACAGAGCAGTATTTATTCTCGTACTGTCTTCTCGCGATTGGATTACAACCTACTGTTGCTTCGTACGGTGAACGAAAAACAAATTCGCGCGAAACTAACACGCCAGCGTATCGCGTAATCTGAGCGAAAACATGCATTCGCTTTCGTTACGAACACACGAAACTTTTTTTAAAATCCTGCGCGGATTGATCGTTCGACAGGATCGTGGCGAAAAGCGCTTAATGTTATCACGTCCAGGAACTACGTGTATCCTACGCGATTCGTTCATTTTCTTGTGAAATAGCGTTTGTACGCGAGCGATTAATTTTCATTCATTTTAGAAGGTAGAACGCTAATAATTCGATTTTAGAAAGTAGACTGTAAGATGCTTTCTATCGAGCGTACGAAACATCGATGGAGGCTCGTTTCAACTTCTAATTATATTAACAAAAAAGGATTGAAGATCTCCTTCCAACGTTAAAGGACGATGGTATCCCGCTGGGGGTAGCCATCCACATTTTATTTAGCAATAAAGCTAGAAAAATTTACCGATTTACCAGCTGGACAAATTGTAAAGTACAAATTACGTGATGATAAAAGAAAACATTAAGGGACGTACACATCCGAATATACGCGTAACATAGGGTTAATTTAAATAAAATGACGTTAAACTGATTTAGAAAAACAAAAACGTAATGTGAAATAAACGTTGAAAGTTTCTTATACGATTTATGGAACTTCCTCATTTCAAAAGTATCGGCTTACAATTCTGAAAAATAAACGAAAAGATACAATATGCAAACTAAAAAGCTCAAATTTCAATAAATAGAAATAGCAGGCCAACGATCGAAATTTATTTTATTTATTGCGATTTTTAAGCTATTGTAAGAATAAGTTAACAACTTATGAATAGAGTTATTAATGGACAGTTAGGTTGCACGCGTTGCGGCTTGCATATTTCATCACTGTCAGAAACGTTATTTCCGCTGAAAATTTCTACCAGACGCGCTACAAAGCTTACACTGCACGCTGCGCTACCGATAGCCCATCGTTCGCGGTACTGCAAGCTTACAACATACGCATGATTACCGCAATGCACAGCTTACACGTTACAACGTTGTGCAATCAACACGCCATGCCTTCTATCGCAACTTGCGGACAACAATTTATTCGCAGCGCGATAATTCAACAATTAGCCGGGAAAAAATTTCATTATGTCATTATATTAATTGCGTCATTATTCAGCTCGTTGGAAAATCGTACGGGTGTTAAAATGCGGCACACTTCGTGCGCGCTAAATCTTTCCAATTTAATAGCAATTACATTAACATACCGGCTCACGAAAGTATTTTAATGCTTAGCGTAGGACAATTTTACGGCCGTATTGTACTTGTTGCATAAAACATTTCGAAATTTATTTCGAACGTTTTCGCGAGTCCGTGTATGTGAATTTTTTAAATTCG